ATTGTTAAATTATTTCTCACCACTTAAATAATTTTCATTTAAAAAAATTGTTTGTTTGTTTTTTTTCAAAAATGTTGCATATTTTAAAGACTGAATTTTTTAAAAATGACAAAACAGTACGGAAATCCTTCACAAATGACTGCCATCAATGACCAATTTCATGGACCAATTTGTTCAATATGAGTCTTCTTCAAGGGTGCTTTGTAATCCTCAATATCCATCCTCATTATTGTCAAAAGACAATGTTTACACAAAAGAATTTCTTAGAAAATCAAATGATTAATTTGACTTTTCTCTTCCTACCACACTATACTCATACATCAGATTAAAGGGTATTAGTTATATGACAGTTTCTTACTTGGTAATTTTCTTTAATTCAAACAATAAAAATTGAACACTGTATATGTCATTGCCATATAAAAACAATTGTGACTTTTAGGTAACAGAATATCAGTCTTAGGGGTTGTAAAACTAATAGAACATTTACAAAGAAAGACATACAACACTTAACAGACATTATCACAGTACAGATTGTATTAAAGAAGTACAGAGAAACCTCCATTTATTGCAAACCAGGACCAACTTTTTTTTACCCTTAAACAAGGATTTGCACTAGATATGGATGAGGTAATTTCATTACCAAAAACACAATTTTCTTTAACTTTTACAGCCAAAGACAAGTTCAACAAAAGGACAGTGCCAACAGAGAAAAGCAAGACAGTGTCATTAACAGAAACTCAGAACTAGAACTACTTGCCTGATACAGAAACAAAAAGGTTTGCACAGCATCCGATGGCCTCAATCTGCCATGTGCTGTTCTTTTGTCTTTTTTAGGACATGAGGCAGTAGTCAGAAAATGAGAACCTGTGTCCAAAAAGATTTAGTGCTCGGTTGAGCTACTATTGAATATTACTGACTTGTCTTAAATGCAGGTTTTACATGAAAGAAATACTACGAAATTGAGGATGGAAATGCTTTGTTCTTGAGGGTCTAAAAATATTTTACCTTAAAACACTAAATCAAGGTTTCACTGTACCAATAACAGTTATGTAATTACTTGCACTACTTTTACGCATTTGCTTAATGATAACTTGGAATGGAACAAGTTACTGTTTTAGTGAAAAAACACCCATCATGCGGATAAGATTCAAGCCTCTTTGGAACTACATTAACAATACTCTTTCACAGATTTCACAAACATTTGTATAAATTACAAAAAACAGTAATTTGGATGTAATACCAAATGTATTATTGTGGGCAAAACAATCTGTTTAAGCCATAGGATGAATTAAAAAGAGACTTTACACTGCAGGTAAAATGAGTTTCACATAAGGTTTTCTTTCTTAATATATTATCGATATAAAGTAGAAACAGCAGAAATAGTCAACATCAATTCCACAAAACAGTTATCATACTGGAATCATCAATATGAAATGTACATCATTACTAAACAAATGAATGAAATTCATTTTTTAGTTCAAAAATAGTCCATAGTAAATCATGGCTATTTAAATTCTTAGAAGCAACCAAATGGCAACATTCACTTAAATTTGTGTCATCTTTGATGAAAATTAAACCCTTGCATACCAGTAGAAATTCATAACATCCACTCCAACAACTGGGTTAACTCAGTTTCTTATACATCATTTCAGTTCTAAGAAATACCTCCACAATCCAATTATATAAGGGAGAGGTAATTATGAGCAATAATTGGATATTCAAGAAATTTACAGTCTCAAATGAGCAATGTAATTATCACATGGGGAAAGATACTTTTACATATCTATGTATTTATTAACATTTGACAATAATCAATGAACTAAAAATCAAATGATTGCATTTTGCAATAAATATTGCAATTTAAATTAAGAGTTTACAAGAAGACTAGGATTATAGAAATATTGCTCAGTAATCTGAAGCAAATAACATGCCCTTAAAGGCAACAGTTCAAGTTTAAATTAACACAGTATGAGCAAGTAAGGTATCTACAATCAAATTTAAATACAATTTTCAACTTTTCACAGTGAAATTATATTTTATAATTTTTATGTACAAAAATTAGACAATGATTTAGGCAAGACAAGTTTTACCCATGCTGAAAGCAGAATGCAACATTTCTGTAACACAACAAAAATAGTTTATAAAAGCTTTCTTGAAACGCACTTGATAAAATAATACTGCAAAGGTGATATATTAGGATTTTTTGTTATGTTGTGGTGCAAATTAAACAGAGTTTTCGAAAAACACCTTTATATTAAAAATTGAAATAATATACTATAATCTCTAAATGATTACAACTGGAAAAACAAAAACAAACATTTGGTACACGATAAAAAATAACGTCATCTATGTGCATGCCCACTCAATTATTACTGTCATAATGGTATTCAAGTCTCATAACTATAACAAATTTCATAATCATTTATATATTCAGCTATAATTTTAAAAAACAAGGTAAAATTGCTTGTCACCTCACAAAACTAGTCAATACTTGCTTTAAATTATAAAATTACCACACACGTTTTTTTAAGTTAACAATCTACCTCATTAAATACTATATTAAGCTAACTCAGATGACATTTAAATGGAAATTAAACACATACCATTCAATCTCCTAAATTAAATTTATTTTTAAAAGAATATAACAATATTACAACACAAAATATTATAAGGCTTGCATACTGATCAATAAATCACAAAACAGACCAAACCCTTTTCCCAAACATAGAAACCCAGTTCCCATAAAATGAGTAAGTTCTTAGTAAGATTACTCATGTTTGACATTTTTACAACATTCCTATCCAACATCCTTATTTAAAATGTGTGTTAAGGATGGGTAATGGGACCATTTATACCTTTTTCAGGCATTTATTTTACAACTACATGAAATTCCTTTACATTTTAAGAAAATTATAAAGGAAGCAAACAAATAATTTCTGGTGAGAGAGAACAATTCAAAATTCACATTACTATAAGGTGTCATTATCTTTACGATGAAGTGGAGATTAACATTGCACTTTAATTTTCTTTTACAATAAAAGATAAATCTATAAGGAGGGGGGGGTGAAGTACTAGTTATTTCTTGAAGTCGCTGTTAATTTTAAAAACAAATTATAAAATTCAAACAAAATTTGTGGACAATCATGTAATTTGCAAAAATTAGTTATCTTTAAAGATATGTAAAGACTTTAAATTGTCCACACAATTAGCAGATCCACAAAAATTGTACACTTTCTCATTTTGAGAAACACAAACATTTTCACAAAAGCCTTAGTTTAACTAACTTGTACACAGATTTGTACTGTAATGGAAAGGTACCCCTAGTCACTTAAAGAACATACCTCTTCAGCAGAGTGGTACATATCCTAAGTATGACCACATGTTAATATCTTAAAAATCTATAAAGAAAACTGCCTGATCCAGCTGATCAGGGTAAAATATTCTTGGTCACAAACAAGGAAATCAAGAGGACAAGAATACAAATGCTGAACACACATCTTTTCTTGGTTTGTTAGAAAAAAGGTTCATAAAACAATCTAATTCCGCTTTTAATACACAATCTACTCATAGGCATGTGAAAAGAGGGGTCCAGTCATGCGGTGACCCTCCGGAACATTTTCAAAGGAGCCCTGTTGCCTCACATAAAAAAATATTTTATTTCTGTTAATTTTAAATTATTGATTAAAAATTACTAACTAAACCTAGATATATTTGGCAATTTACAGTGATGTAAGAAACTAACACATGGACACATTAGTCAAATCATGTACAGTTACTGTATATATTTCATACTATAGTCAACAAGTTGGTTCCAGTTCCCAAAAAATTACTCCTTATGTTGAACGTGTTTTGACATGTTATTTTATAAACTTTATGGAATGGTATTAAATGGATTACAATAAAATATGTGAAAAATTCTTAAATTTCCCCAAAATTATGAAAAAATTCAAAATTTACCTATAATACTAATTTCCAATACATGCAAAAACTAAAAGAAAAGCATGCATTCTTTAACTATGTTAATGGTGTCTATAGTTTCATTACACAACCAGGAACTCAGGAAAAATCCTCAAACAATGAAATCATTATGACGTTGACTGAAATGCAAATATTCAATTGTGTTATTCCCCCTATTCTCAAACTCTGTGCATCCTGCCTCAGTGGCCAATTCAGGCTCCATTTCCTCACACAAACCCCTTTAAATATGTTAAAAATTCCAAAATTTGCCGAAATTAGCTTACTGGCCTCTGAATCAGCAGGAGATTCAATTCCAGCTGAAGTGCATGGATTTTTGAAAGGGCAGAAAATTTCAAAGCAGGCCTCACCATGCTAGTAGCATGTAAAAGAATTGTCGTAGGTTCCATGTTGAAAATACCACATGGAACAACAGCCAATAGCCATCACCCCATAAATAACACAACATGATAAACAAACACGGAATACTACTTGGAACTACAGCTAATAACCATCTTCCCACAAATAACACCATATGATAAATAAATATTACTTCAGACACTGAGAGGTCGCCTGCTATTAAATATTTTCAATTCATGTGTTGCATTATGGAACAGCAACTTTTTTGATATTCTTGGTATGTAAAGTACTGTTTTACCTTCTATGTACTATGTTATTGCAGTATCCAGGAAGAATGATTTTGTTAAAACATTTAATTTATTGCATTGTTAAATGAGAGTATTTTATTTACAGTTCTTGAACAGTGGACATGTTACTTTTCAGGATATCCATTTTATGGAGATTTTAGCAACAATTTTTCTGCTACATCCATGAGTTGGGTACATTTACAGTGTAATGGAAGAATTCAGAACAACATTTTGATGAATCATTTCAATTTATGCTTCAAGTTGGCCAATTCAGACTATCTCCTCACAGAAACGCCTTTAAATATGTTAAAAATTCCAAAATTTGCCAAAATTATGAAAAAGTATGAAACTGTTCTGAAAAATGCCAAGTCTAAGTCAATCACTCCAACCAACCCAAAAGACATTCAAAAATACACTGAAAATGGTTGTACAAGTAATATGTCATATGTAAATAAAACGTTTCATAAGGGAGCCCAGAACAGTTACCCGCCCCTCTTGTTATAGAGCTTACAACGCAATGTCCTAATAGTAGCAATAATGCAGTTAATCGCCAATTTAATTATGAATTTTATCGAACCAATATAAGCATCTTTCTGAGCTGCATCTACTGTATTAATGCAAGTCATTTAAAATTGCAAATAAATCTGTTAACAGCGTAAAGCATATTAAAATTCAAGAAGGGTATATTATTTAAGATGTAGAAGTAGACGGTAATATAATAAAAAATACAAAGCTCATCACACACAATTTGTAACATTTCTGCCAAGAGGGCAACAGCAACATAGCCAATACAGAGGCATCTGGAGGAACGTTCCTAGAGTCTGTGAAGTAAAATTACTAGCACTAATAATTGAAGTCCTAATCCATGTTTGTTTAGAATGATAATGATCATAATGACAACAATGATATGTGACGAATTAGAAACCAACCTTTCTGTGGTAGATCAAGGTCAATATCCCTGCCTCAATATCATGGTGGTCAACATCCCTGCTTGCTTTCTGATAAAACCAAGTTAAAAAATTACAACATAAAACAAATTTCTAACAGTTATTTTAATGTAAAATCTGCTTATTTCAGTTTGAATAGTAATTCCTCTCTATATTTTGTTCATAATATCAAAAGAATAAACCAATCACAATTTTCTGAAATCTGTTCATTCGATGTGATAAATTGACTGTATGCGTCATTTGATTTCAAATAAATATTATATTCAAATTATATTAAACATTAGAATATGCAACAACCATGACTAAGAAGCCATTAATGATAAAATACAACCTTTCCAAATATTTGATTACTCACTCACGATATGAATATTTTCATGTATCTTATTTAGTGCGTTTATTACTCAAGTTACAGGAACCATTTTCCATGAACCTAGAATACAACATTCACTATGAACATTGTTACCCATAAAACAATGAAATAAAGACAGCTAATGACATTTCCAAAATAAAGGAACTTTTTATTTAACAAAAAATGTTTTTTCAGAAAACCCACACTGACTTTCTTCCTCCATTCATACAGAGACTCTTGACTTAGATTACAGATGTGAGTATAATAATTACAGAGCTTATGCTTCTCCTCCTTGATAAATGTTATATCAAAATGATTCCCTTCAGATGTATTGCTTCTGACTTGTAAGAAACTTCAAAGAATATATTCTACCCTTGTTAAATAAAAATAATAAGGTTGCACAATGTTTGAATTTCATAAATTATTTTCATTCCTGTGATATTGCAGTTAGTTTAGAACAGTCCAATATTTTCATTCAGTGAACAAAAAGATTACCAACACTGTCAACAGCAATAAAAAACCTTGTTACATTTGATAATATTTCTTAAGGCTTTATGGTGTATTGTGTTTATAGCTAAATGTAATTGTAATCTATGAAGCTGTAACTTTAATTCTATAGATTCTCACTGCTCATTCAATGGCACACAATAAACAAAATTTAAAAGCCAGTTCTTTACACACTTCAGTAAGTCAGTGTATCAATAAAATTTGCTACTGTATTTTTAGCAAAATTTGCTACAGCACAACAGTAATTATTCACACAATATTAACATATATAGTACATCACAGCCACAAGCATGGTAAAAATCAGAGCATTCAAAACCAGCATCATCTAATTTGATGAGTTGGATCACAAATCACTTTTTTTAAATATCAGTAGCCAAACACTTTTAACAATTTAAATTTAATGATACTGTTTACAATGCTCCCAGACAGCAACATGCCAAAACATACATTAAAAGAATATTTTGTGATAAATATTAAACATGTAACTACACATTAAATGGAGTCCAATAGTATGTTAAATTGTTGTAGAATTAAAGCTGACAGAATCTCATGAAAAACAATCATAATAAGGCTGGTAGGGGAATAAGCACAAAAAGGAATTAACATTCAAAATATGAGGTGACTACATGTAATCAAAACTGTCCAATGAAAAGTTTGACAGTTTTGAATGAGAGAAAAGCTGAGTTCATCAGAACACCGTCCAACCGACCAAACCGACCACAATTTGTCACTCAACTTTTTAAGGTTACTACAAAAAGGCTTCACTAATGTTGTTTGTACTGTCAAAAGATTGGATATTTTATGTTCCAACAATGATCTAAGATTAAAAACTCAAAGTCAAAACCAAATATTGTTTTCAGAAATTGCTTTAACACGTTAATTGTCATTTGGCTGCTGCTGGCCGCAGTGGTAACTCAAGCAGAATGCTGCATAGCTGCAGGCAGCCTCATGTTGGCAAAACAAGAGGTCACTGCCTGACACACAGGGTTCTACACAACTGCAACTTCACAACTACACAACTGCAAGGGTTCTTCACAGCTGCAATTGCCAGCAGTCACATGGCAGTCAACATGACAAATAAAAGACTGACAATCAGCATTAAAGATCAAGAAAAAAAAAGGGGGGGGAAATAAAATTAAAATATATCTTCATTCACAACTTAAGGGCAAATTCAGGATTTTGGAAAAGTATCTTCATTCTTGACTTCAACTATTATTTTTATGTTCTTCTCAGCAGGTTCAATATTTTGGAGATTTAATCTACTGTATGTGAAGAATTTCTAAAATAGTCACAATATTTTATGAAATATATTATTGGTGAAAATATGAGAACACTTTAATACTCATTACAAACCATTGTCAACGATGAGCACAGAAACACACATGGATAGAGAAATTGATATTCTCAACTAAATAGACAAAAAATACACTATACTTTCAAGAACTCTTATAAAATAAAATAAAATAAAATAATTACAAGCCTACATTGAAACTTCATTATCCTGTTTTTACTTTCCATTCTACCCATGACAAATGTAACATGCCTTGGTCTAATATTACGAACATTGACACACCTAGGTAAAGCAAAGACATAAAAACAAAAAAACAGTATACATCTTCAAGACAGTCTTCCAGTTTTTATGTATTTAAAAGCGGTGTTCAAATATAAAACAGTGCATGACGCAAGTCTGACTAGAATGACAAACTGCATTCTCCAGCTCTTGTGAGCCAGTAAAATGGTAGCACATGAATTCTCACAGAATTTCACTTCTACTTGGCAGTAATTTTTCAAGAATTATCATGAATCACTAACCTGGCAGGACATGTCACTAACAGGCACAGTGATGTATATACCACTATACTCAAATCATTGGAATAACTATCATTAATGTAATGAACTATGAGGTGCAACTTCTCAGCACACCATTCTGCATCAAGGTTAGAAAACAATACAAGTAACTTTAATCAGAATCTTCATCAGAACCCATAGCATGATGAGGACGAATCTGCTGTCGTGGTAAATTTTCTACCAGCTCTAACACATGTTCAACAGGCTCTGGACGACCATCTTCACCAATACGGCATGGCTGTACTATTCCACCCCTGCAAAAAATTCCCACAGAAGTCTAATAAAATTTATCAAACACTGAAAACAAGACTACACTAATTGTGTGTGTATACCAATACACATAACACCAATACAAAAAAATGCTGAAAGTCACAGACTTATTATTTTATTTCCTGAAATTATCCATAGTGCATATATTCCAAATTTCTATAAGAAACCATGATGCAGATATAACGGTGTATGTGAGGAATCCTATGAGTGTGTCCATGTAAGTTGCTTCAGCGAACAATTACAAATATTAGAATTTAAGACAAATTTGTTTTTTTCTAAGCTCTCTCTCTTTTTTGAAAATGTCCATTTACATGGAAAGCCTATGCTTTTATTTGTCCATTTACTTGTTGTCAGGCTTGAAGTTGATCACAAATATGCCATCTTCAATGCATACATAACTTGTAAGTGCAGTTTTATGGCAGGGTCCATGAAGAAGCCAACAAGAGCAGGAACATAACTATATTTTATTACATATTTAGGCACAGTACTCTAGTAAATTGTTATTAATGCACACAAACATTATAGCAGTCATTTTATTTATTTTAATTAGTATATTTGATTTCTCGAATATTTTTTCTTGATAACAAACTGCTCCAGATATCAAGTCATCTTCTTAAATTGTCTACATATATTCATATTTGTTGTTTCTAAATAAATTTTCTGGCATGTTTACGGAATAATGCACAAAGTATTATGTAACACAAAGTATAATGTACTCAATATAATGCTCAAAGTAAGGAACTATTCTTTAACAAAAAAAAAAGAAAAAAAGTATGGACAACATTTCATGACTGGAATTTATAATGTATTAATGCTAAAACATATTCCTTTTTTTTAGTGAGACAAAATGGATTAATTAAATAGTTTGTGGGACACTTCAATAAATAACAGTGACATAACAAACTTCAAGATATTACATGTGTGATAATGGCATCTGTACAAGAATCTCTGAAAATATTTACGAGAATGATTCAAAAAGGATAAGCAATTGAATATTTCTTAATATATATTTCAACAAATATAAAAAGTATGTCTTTTTTTTACAATATTTCTTTGCTTCTAAATATAATTTGCCTACAGTATCTACACTTTTTTATTCCTCAAGAAAAAACGTGTTTTTTGATTGAGCTATCAATGAAAAATGCACCACTTTTGTCGTGCTGTCAACAGTCTCAAATCTCTGTCCTATCAAAGCATGATAATCCAAAGGAGAAATATCCGGGCTGTATGAGGATGTTTTAGGATTGTTTCAATGATTAAAAGTTGGAGCAGTAGGAAGGGAATGAGCTTGTCGTGAAAGAAAAGAACACCTCTTGATAGAAGTTCTCTGAGACAGTTTCACAGATAGATGGCTTTACCTCCTTTTCCAACATTATGCTGTACCAGGCACTATGCATCATTTCACACCTTTCCTAAAAGTGCTCCAAAATCAGCCCACTAATATTCCAGAAGAGAGCGAAAATGAACTCTCTGACAGAAGGTTGAAAGGAAACTGCTGGATTGACCAGAGCTTTGCTCATGACTGATATTTTTTTTTTTTTATTTTTTTTTTTTTTTTATATGAGATCTATATATTTTTTAAAGACATACCATCTACCAAACCATATATTCTTCTTTTGCTAAAGCTGTTATTGCAAACATTTACACAAACCTTCTAAGTAAGAAATGTGTATGCCTTCTGACCAGAAAAATCATATTACTATTTGCTCTTCTTCCATGGAGAACATAACTAAAGCCACCATTTTGTTTCAACTACCCTTCAATTTACGTCATGTTATATGTTGGTATATGTCAACATATTCTCAAAGCACCTTTCCTTCATGGGAGATTCAGGTGTCTGGAGTATTCAGTTCATGCAATATTATGAATTTGATGTTAATTTTTTAATCACATTTTAATTCCTAATTTTGCATTAAACAGCAAGTGGTACCCTTGGCGCTCAAATACCTTTTGAAAATTCTAGTCTGCATTTCCCGAAAGTAATCAGGGCAATGCCTGATACTTTTGATACTTGATAATTGATTATTTTATTGAGAGAAGAAAGAAGTCTTAAATTTTGTGGAGTAATCTAAGAATTTGTGTTAATACAATGTAGAACATAAAATACTTTTTCCATGTTTTATTCCAATTTAATTATTTCCATGACTTTTTTAAATCATAAGAAAAATAGTGGCATACTATTAAATATCTTTAAATTTAATACACAAAACATGTACAATAGTCGATTATAAAAGTGACAACTTTTATAGTTGTAATAACATTCTTTGAAGCTTTCAAGGAGGAAGGCAGCAAAAGATGATTCAAACAATTCTAATAAGACATACCTTGACAGTTTGTCCATCATATCTAGTAGTTTTGAAGCTTCATACTCCTTCTGTTCTTCACTCATATTTATTGTTGGATCAGACCTTGGAGGTTCATATGATCCAGTGACAGGATTAATCCTAGAAAACAAAGCAATTTAACTGGCATCTATTCACATAATTATTTGCAATTTTCTAAAGAACAAAGACAGGCATCTTAATTAAAAACAGTGATAATAGTAATACACAGTACATGAAACGATTCCATGATTAAATCAAAGAAGTTTTAAATCAGACTTATTAGTATAATCTAGATTTAATTAATAGTACAGATAGATTGAGGAGCAGTCACAATAATGAGAATGAAACCAAAAAATTGTCATTTTTTCACAAAATGTACTGCTGGAACTGAATCACAACAGAATAGTATTAAAAATATCTTCAAAATCTCATGCATTGTGTTTCTAAGTGATAACATTCTCTCTTGTTTAATCAGATGCCTCACTCAGAAATGAGTATATTTTTTTATTTGATAATTGATTATTTTATAAAATTTCATTTTAATAGTTCATCATCACTGGCATATATAAATGTACCGTTGAAATAAATACAGGGTTAAGTGCCAAAATGAACATTTTTCAGGAGGCCAAAAAAACTGGTTTTATTTATTACTTATTATGAATACATGGACAAGAAAGGTGTCATTTCATTAACAAACTATATATAATGCATATGCCGATCTGGTGGCCGAGATAAGTGGTCGCTAACGCAGTAGGGCCATGGCGATCTTGGACTGAAGGATCATGGGTTCGAATCTCGCATTGTTTTGTAAATGTGCATGTTGTCTATGTGTAATGTGCTTGTGAGTCCCTTCTGGTTGGCATCAGGAATGACATCTGGGTGTAAAACATTCACCAAATCTATATAAGAATGGAGTGTGCACAAATCAATAAAAATTAGCCCACATCCATTAGTGCTGATGCCATAGTAATGGGAAAAGGTAAAAGAAGATGCATAGTTATATAATGTGTATATTATAATATCCAATGTTATTCTGTGATGGAAAAATAATGGAAACTGAAGAAAAGGCAAATGTGAAACAAGTGAAGACGCTTTTTCGTGAACAACATAACAAAGTCTAATAGGAATAAAACTAAACACACTGCAAAAAAATTAATCTAAAAATTATAAAATACAGTAAGTTCAATCCTTATAATATTTCAGATTGTTAACCATTACTCAGTTTAACCTATAGAAAAGGTAACATGACTCTCAAGTCCTTTCCTTTTACTTTGAAATCTTTGCTGTTGCATTTCAGATGGGGAATCTGTGTCTGCAAAATTTTCTTGTGGAAGAACATACTTTTTCATCATCCAAATGTCATTCCAAATTCTATATCATTGAGGTCTCTTGACTTCTACAATTCTTGGCTGATCCTTTGTAATTCTAATCCATGGTGTTTGTAAAATTTGCATATTACTAGTGGATATTATTTGAATGAAATTCTATTTAAAAGGGAGAACAAAATTGGTACCTTTTTTGAGAAAGTTTCAAACATTTATTGGAGCGTCATGTAAAGTACCCCCACAAATTACAATGTACTTTAAATTTAAGGAATGTAACATCAATCAGATGAACAGCGGAAAAAAGAAAAAAAAAAAAGCAGCAACAAACGCAAACTCCTTCTCGGAATCAGAACCCTCAAAACATAGTTCTCCTGTACCTTCCTTATATGGCAATAAATCTCAAATGACTCCATGTGTTTAACAGCTAGAAACCCGCTACACTATGAGGACTATGAGAACACCAAAAATTTCTCCCATGGTGGCATGTTTAATAGCCAAATTCTCTTTTTCGTTTAACTCACCAAAGAACATTGCAAAACGAAATCTCAAGAATTATGAAAAGACATCCTTGAGCGATCTTGGGTTAATATATCAAAATACTTGAGAATCCACAACGTTTCCATTTACCACTAAAATAATAATGCTGTAATAATGCTAAAAACTCACTGATCCCTCCAATTTCTATATTCTTCAGTTTCACTGTCCTCACTATCAGATGAATAGCGACCAGGCCCAGAACCAGAGCCTCGAGAATTACTGCTGCCACCCAGCAGCAAACCTCTGTTTGCCAACAGCCCTGCAGCATTGCCATATCCAGTGTACTTAACCATCCGAGACACTAAAACAAAATTTCACCAACATCAAAAAAGTTTTAATCAGACGTATTAACTAATCTACATTAAAAATCCATAAACAATACATGTGGGTGCTAAACAAATCATTTATTTCAAATATTTTTTTAAATGCAACCTACAAGTATGCTTTACAATAATTTAATGAGCCCTTCAAATAATGTACTCATGATTTGTAACTTTTTCAACCCAGTCTCCTCCTACCTTATTTAAAAATTATTTTTCTTGAACATTTTCACATTTTTTAAAGTTTGGTTCATATGCTACACTTGCACTGAGGGCTTGCAATATAGTTCACCTTAATTACCACACTTACTCAATTGTAAGTAGACACCGATTGTAAGCAGATCCCAAGAAATTATAAACAAAATAACGGGAAAAAAGGAAATTTATTTAAACATAAGAAATATATTTGAATATTAATGCACTCAGACCACTGATTTCTATACAATTTAGAGATCATTAGCTCAAACACCATCATCAGAAGACTCAGATTCCTCACTTGACACTTTGTCACTTTTTTCCATGAAAAGGAAGTCATCTTCGCTGCTGTCAACGGCAATTGAGAGCCCTTGTGACAATTTCTAATGGAATAGTCTATCAAGCGCCATCTATCCAAGCACACACTTGCGATAGATAGCCCGAGATCACTTGAAAAGAACGAATGACTGCTGGGGTTGGTCGCAAGCTTGGTGGCCGGAAACCCGTGTGTGTTGCAAGTAAGGCAACACCGCTTTAACCCATGTGTCACTTAGAAATTTTAATCAGACAATTATATACTTCAAATTAATATATGAGGTGGCTTCATGCAGGTTTTATCCATACTTTCTATCATGTCAACTGTGTGCCCGATGACAAATAGATAACTTAACAGATGTCTTGGGTCAGCTATGTTAAGCAACATCATGATACAGATTCTAAGCAGAGAGTCAATTTTTGAACTACAAAAAAGGGGGAGAAAGGTCAGCTTACAACCGGGTAAATATGGAGCTTAATGCTAAAAGTTGCAGTTTTGAGGAAGGAATTCTTTAGGGGGAGACCTCAAGGGAGTCACATTACGAGAAATTTATTTTTAATACAAGTCTTAAGAGTGGGTTTTTTTTTCTTAACTACTAACTTTCTTTCTCTATCAACTTATTTTAACTATTCATAACACTGTCAATATCCCTTGCACACAGATGCTTGCTTTGTGAGTTCAGAAAGTTGTGCCACAACTATATTCTGTCTAGATACGACAAGGCATTTACCTAAATATTTCATTTGAAACTTAAACTTCCTCTTATATTTGCTGATTAAGATTAATCCACTCAGAGTTGTTTCACACTTGTTTTGCCTCTCCATGTGAAGAAACTGTTGCTGACCTAACAATAAACTTCTACAGCAATAAGGTGTTTTTATAATTCCAAATTAGATTTGGGGATGTTTTTGCCCCAAAATGCCAAAAACTTTGCGGTATCCATCGCGGATTAGCCAAGCGACACAGACCAATAATTTTTATATAGCAGGTAATGAGAGAATCTTAAACAAATGGCATTGTAAGTGAAATGCAGCATGAAAATAAAGAGTTGCAGATATTTTGTTACCCTTTGTTTAACGAGGTCGTGCAGACAGGGTTGCCATAAGTATAACAATGGAATTCATGACCTCCAAAATATATATTTCAAAGCAAATTGTTTATTTTTATGAAACTAAATAGCACACAAGTAAATCTTACAACTAGGAAATAGTATTTCACATAAACAACTAAACAATCAAGATAAATTACATTGCACAAATTCTTAATAAAATTTGAGGGTGTTTAAGTAACATTTTAAATACAGCTTTACTTTGGTCAATGTTAAAACACTGCTATCGAGAGAGCCCTTTCTGCCTTTGCATTCCAGATTCTCTTGCAATAACATGTTGGGAGAAAGACAAGCACTTTGATTCAAAATACAGAGTACCTTTCTTTATCTATTTTTAAGCTCTCAGATTGCATTATAAAATGACCAAAAAAAAAACAATATTCGCTTAACAAAGGAATTAATCCTTTGCATTCTCTTATGCTTCATGTAATTCTGTGACGGTGATGTAGTTTGCAAGTACTTCCAAAACACAAGTTTTTTTGTACAGTAGTGTACAATAAACACAGTAAAATCAGAGGAAATTTCACATTTGGCAGCAACAAAGAAAAATTGGGGGAGGGGGGGCAGCGAGACACATTGAAATTGTGGACATATCTTGCTTTTTCTGGACATATGGCAACCCTATTCACACACTCCTCAATCTGGGACGTGGGCCTCGCTGCGCAATGCCCAGATCAGAGCAAATCTGCATTTGGAAAGATAGAACAGAAAAACAGCACATAGACAAGGTACACATTCTATTTCCAAACAAGGAGACAAGATAACTAAAAAAATAAGTCTTAGAAAGTCATGTTTAAATGTTGGTAACTTCACTCTCTCCCATGTCACCCACAGAATAAGGTACCATACATCCTTTGTAGTTCAGAATTGAATCATGAGAATTTAAACAAAGCAAATTTAAAGTTAATGGTTGTCAAAGAATTAGAGACCATTGACAAAATGCCCTTCAGGAAGAAAATCTGGTAACAGAGAAGGGAATTTCTTAGATCAAAGACTAAGGAAGCAAATTCAAAGCCCACGGCATTCAGGGGAGAGCTTCAAGGTCAAAGAGCTACTCAGTATGGGAGGAGGATCAGAAAGAAACAGACAATCCATGAGAAGATAAAAATGATACTGACAACAATGATGGCGATTAGAATCTGAAAGTTTGGCAAAATGCCTTTTTATTATTATGATTTTATGAGGTTTAACAATAGGTATCACTTAATCATGCTTCTGAAATTATTTCATTCTTAGAATATTTTCATTTTCCCATTTTTTCACTATTTCAGCTTCTGATGCCTATTTTTAGCACTTTGTCTTTCTTGTCATAGCACTGATCTTGAATGTGATGGAAAACAGCAAGCCTGGACAACACAAAAGTACTGTCAAGTTTTGTCCTCTGTAAGCGGAGGTTCCACGTAGTGTAAAATAATCTAAGTGAAGGAATGTGATACCAGTGAAGATTGTTGGATTTCTTTCATTGATGCCATTGGGTTTGGGTTACTCACAAGTAATCCCATCCTATGTGCTTCGATCTCATGGGCAGAGGGCAGAGATCTCTTTACTTGATACATGATGCAACCCTTCTCAGGGCTGCACCAGGGCAAAAAACAAAAACTACAATCACATTTTCAGTTACGCCATTTCAAGATTCCGAAGGTAGTTCACAAAACCATTTCACAGAGCCAATGCCTGAGTGTCATCATACCAGATGGTCAATTAATATCAAGTAAGTATATTTCCTTTCATGAAATTTCTGATGCAAATTCTCGAGTTAGAGTAAAAAAAGAATAATCTTAATTATTAATTTTTAATAATAATTCATTGTAAATTGTGATTTTCATTGCTTACATGGCCTTTTGCACCCCTATTTCAGCTACAATTTTTGCATGCCCAGCAGCCTTTTTGCATGCTCATTTTGGTGAAAATAAATGCCTGAACTTCTGGTCTCTAATGATGATTTTAAGGTACAATAAAATTATGATATCTCAGGCAAAATGTTTTAACATTCTCATCAAGACAATTTTCTAGTAAATTAGACAATTAGTATTTGTGACTATTTTCTCTCAATAGTAAGAATAGGTTAAAAATTCCCAGGATGCCTCTTCAAAATCAGGGAGGTTATCATATAATCAGGTAAATATGGTAATTGTGAAATGAAAATATGCAAGAACAATGATCATTTATTCATTTATTGTGGTTAAAAAAACAAGCTATTAAATTGAACTCTAGCTGAATTTTATAAAATTATCCAAAAATGATATTAAATTATTTATATACAGTTGATCTGCTGATTTGGGTAGCCAAGATTACTAAGGGAGTAGTCCTGTGGCGGTCTTGCACCGAAGGACCACAGGTTCAAGTCTCGCTGCAGGCATGGTTCAGTATGTGTGTGCATCTCTGTATGTTTGTGACAGTCCATTTCATCTTTCATCATCATAATCATTTCACATCACCCAGGGCTAATACCCCTGGGTGAAAAAACAGATTCATCACGAAACTGCATCATCGTTGTCAAAAATTTGCATGAACAAGAGACTGATTCGCAACCAAAAAACCCAAGGAACTGATCTTTAAGTCACAGCAATTGTAACCAGGGATTGTTTACAATAACAGACAAAATGAATTAAATGACATTCATAAATACAGTCAGTGTTTACTAGCAATTAACTTCCAACACAAAACAATTAATTTAAAAAATATTGTGAGAACGTCAATTTTTAATTAATCACTTCTCCCTCTCAGGTGAGGAGGATGGGAGGGGGTAGAGGGAGGGGAGGAGGGGAGGAGGAAGAAGGAGGGGATTGAGAAGAGGGAGGAGGGGAGGAGGAAGGAGGAGGGGATGGAGAAGAGGGAGGAGGGGAGGGGAATGGGGACGAGTGGTCTCCTTAAGCCCTCCCTCAAATTATGCTAAGCGGTCTGACAGAAATAAATGAAACATACCAAGAGGCGATTTTTATGGCAGTTTGACTGACGGTGTTATAACCCAATGATAGGTCATTACTAATACCTGAATCATATTCAACTTGCTTCCCACAAACCATGACCCCTTCCGCACGGAACACTTACACACATGAAAGAGTGGCCCCTTGCTACACTTCCACTCAAAACCAACACACAACTTCTTTTGCTTGGCCAAGCTCATAGGACACTTACACACAAGACACTTAAATCATGCAGCAATCTCACCACGTTCTTGCACCCATTCAATGACAGCCAAACACCCCCTTCGGCGCAACGTGTAAAGAAAAACCACATTCTCACCATCGTAGCACAGACACTCAAAAATACAAAACACCAAAAATCTGAAAAATGCAAGAAATTTAACTGTATGACAGCAACGTAGCTAACCACTTCTCAACGTAACTAACCCTGTTCGACAGCTACCAGACACAAAAAATCACATAGACAAAATTGCGATTTACATGTCACCACACACCATTTCCACAAGATATTAGGACGAAGTTGCCCCCCATTTTCATTACACATTTGAGTTATTGAAACACTTGTATTCATTTCACTGAGAAATCTCACGGAAATAGTATCATTATGCATCAAATACTGTCAATAGAGGCTACCTAACCTCACAGACAATGAATCCACTCTCAATAGAAAATTTTGAATTTTGGAGATGATTTTTAGAAACAGCTCATTGTTTATTGGACTAACTCTAAGAAACAAAGAAATACATAAATGCGTTAAGAAATAATTTTAAAAACTCACCACTTTCCTTACAAAGCACAAATAGAAAATCAGCAACTAGCCCAGAAACTTGAGAATTTGGAGTAGTCAAGAGTCTGCATAGCTTATTTCGAATCTTATTTCCTTCTTCGGGTCGATACATTACATCAGTTAAAGGTGGTAATACACGCTGGCGGAGGTATTTCCGCATCGCACGATGTCCTCTTGAACCCTTCACCAATACAGTGAGAATTGGCGATAATGTTTCATGTTGACCTCTTCCTCCCTGTATAAAGCAAAGTAAGCAATGTCATGAATATCAAATACAGAAAAAATTGAGCCAAAATAGTCAGCACTGAGTAGATGATTAAGAAAGTAAGAAACAGTGGCAGTAAGACACAAGTCTAATTATATATAGAAATTCACCTGTGTTGAACAATCTAATTGCTTCTCAAGAAAACGAAGGAGGACAGCCACTGCCTGCATGTTCCTTCCATCAAACTCCAAATCTTTTGGGAGATCAGCACCATCTGGTTGTATAGGAGTCATTAATTCTTCAAAACAATTGCTGGGGATGCTGACTAGAAGGTTGACTGTATGGCTACACACAAAAATAAATTGTTTTTGAAAAGAGGAAAAGAAAATAGTACGAATATCACAATAACAATAGTTAATCAATGTTGTAAAGTAAGGAAGAATTACATAGTACTGTTCTTGTCATTACAATGAAAAACAGATTTGAATGTGTATCATTGTGAATTCTTGTAACTACATTAATGTGATTTTTTCTTTCATAATTCTACAAGGCAAGTGGGGCTACTTAACAGTTGAATGTAATAAATAAATATCTAGGCAATGCTATGTAATCGGTTAATACAAAATATAATTTCATTACATCTCATTTCATTACATCTCATTTCATCATCAATATCATTCAACCACATAACAAGTTTCACAAAGCATACGCAGGTCCACAAGCAATGCAGGGGATTAGTTATATTAAGTACATTCAAAAAGCAAGCACTGAACATAACTAAGGAGACTGAAATGTAGTATTGCATACAACCTAAGGAAGTCGTTTAAACCAGCACTTCGTGCCGTTCCGTCGTTAACTAGGCAGTTAGAATTCTGGAGGCTTTCTTGAAAAGTTATGTGTTATAAAAGTGAATTGGTAATGATGAGTTGGATAGACTCAAGGATGTTTATAGTGAACATGAAGGCCGAAGGCTCGAGCCTCACCGTGACTTGGATCCGGGCGAGCGAAGCGAGAAAACTTGCATTTGAAAGTAAATTGGCGTCACAATGTGGCGGGGACAAAGCATTTGAAGGGTGATAGGCATTTGAAAATCACCTATCCATAAGTTTTATTCATTTCTATTAGAGCACGTACAGTAATTAGGGCTTAAGCCCAGCTGCCACGCTTCTCTAAGGGCGTACCGTATACTAAATTTTAACTGCCTGCATGTTCCTTCCATTATTCAAGGCAATGGTAATATAGAAGCAGGCAAATCACATAGAAATCACTAGCCACAGGTATTACATAAAATGAATACCCTTGAGAAACTAAAATTAACTCATTTGAAACAAATCCTAACAGAAGCCTAACTACCTGATTCCATCTAGAGTATGTCCTGACAAAGCAACCTTTTCTGTTAGAGTATTTAAGAACTCTGTTCTCTACACCATTCTCGGAAAATTGTAAGGGGTTCCTCTAAAAACTTCAACAGAAAAGAGAAAGATCTCATCGGAACATGGGTAGAACCAAAGTTTGAGGAAAGAGACATGTTTACAAGAATGGTGGTTCATGGTTTTCATCACCATATCATTTCCAAAACAAAAGTTCACCGTGGCGCACACTCCATCCCCACATTGGATAAAGCAAATTTGGAGTATTTTGAATCTCCCTCTCCCCCTATATTGCAGATTTAATACATGCTTGAACCCTCTCTAAATAATTATATCTCTTGCAACAACAACTGTCCCCTCATTTACAAGTAAAAATAAATTATAGTAAGAACAATTTGCATTAATTTTATTTCTTATATTTCAAAAATTAGTTGGCGATGCTGACTGCACCTAACAATCAGACTGAAGACAACCGAGTGAAGGAAGGAAGCATAGATGAGAAAATTTCTGACAAGCTGTGCACACATTGTCATTGATGGTACATGAGCAAGACTACTGTGCCAATTTAATTGGATTCTAGAATAAACAATAGATCTGTTTTGAATACTTTCTTTGTAATCTAACAAATTCAATCAAAAACTATTGATTGAAAAATACTTCTATTTATTGGAACAAGTATTATTGTAACAATTTATACATTATTTTCAATTAGTTAACTTTTATGTTTTAGTATTAATGTAAAAAAAAAAATTCGGCAAACATTGAAAATTGGAGAAAAAAATATTTGTGTTATGAAACATTAAACTAAAACACCCTACCCCTATGTAACGCAGAAAAACACTCAAATCTCCTACCCCCCTTTTTTAGCACACTGTAATTTATGAACCACCCCTCAACAGACACCTACCTATGTGAACCTTGTGTTTAGTCATATTAAACAATACAAAAACCAATGTTTGTACATAAATGCATAAAATTAAATGCAAGAAATCAAAGTGTAAGGGAAAAAAGACCACATCACAATGATTACGAATAAACCCAAGATGGTGCACACTTCCCCTAAATAAAATGTTAAAAAATAATATTCACTTACTTTTGTAATTCTTTTTGTTTCTCTGGAGATGTAGCATCACATAACAACAGATCATGCAAAATGGACACCAATCGCAAAAAATGAGCCTCTTCCTCTTCGTCCACATGTGAATTGTCCAGCGGAGGAATAACATTTCCAGGTGGCAGAGTAAGATTAAATAAAACTTTTAAAATTTCACAAGCCAACCCAATATGTTCATCCTAAAAGAAAATGTCATTTTCAGAAACCAATCAAAATTTTTGTACGAAATGTCACACACGGTGCCTGCCCTATTGTCTCCCTTGAAACTATCTGTGAAGGACATCATTCAAAATAAACAAAATATTGTTTCCACAACACAAACCCTACCCCACACAACAATTTCTTCAACACAAAAACTAAAAATAATAAAGATTACAGAGAGAAGGGTAACTGAGCTCAATAACTGACATGGTTTTGAATACACCTATATAGAAAATCCATTCTCAAGCTTCACAATTTATTAAGGAGCATGACATAAAATTTTTTAAACGTTTTCAAAAATAAAAATAAATTAATCTTATTCTGTCTTAACAACAAGTTAATGAACTTTGTGAATTAGATTTCATAATCATTAGGATGGCAATTGAAACCGAGTTAAAAGATATACCTCTACATAACAAAAACAATACTAGTAGTAAACACCTTAAAGTCACAAGTATCATGTGTAGAAACAAAGATACTCACAGAGAGTATTACATGAATATCACTGCATGCAGCACCTCTTTCATAATGGTGCTCTTCACCACTTGCTTCCTTTAGAATTAGATCTAAAGTTTCCATTAGGTATGTTAACCCATGAAGTTCTTCATTTAATCGAGGACGAACTTCCGAACACAATGCAGTAATTATAAAAAGTAATCTCATATCAAAATATTTAATGTCTGATGGTATATCAGGATCTCTGTATGTTCTCATTCGCATAACAACACCTTCAATGGTGTGATTCTTGCAACTCATTGCCAGAGCTACTTTACTGTTAAATACAATATTACACAAACATTTCTGTGCCTCTAGTACAACTGAAATATAAACAATGGAAATTTATGCTACACAAGGTTATTAGCTCAAGTTATTTGAAAAAAGTAGAATGATATATCAGACTTATACACAAGTGAAGAATGACACATCATTCTAGTTATAATTCTAGACATCAATAAAATACAGGAGGAAACGTATGATATTCATTATTTCAGAATTTAAAATCAATCAAAACTATTCACCATACCTTCATAATCTGTCAATGGTTGGTTAATTCGAGTCATAGCTTCTTCCTGAGATAATAGACCTGCAAGACTAAGCAAAGTCTCTAACCATTGTTCACTAATAAGGTCATCTAATTGTATTTTTTCACGACTGAAATATAGGAATAATTTATAAATTGTTAAATATTTAAAGAAGAATCTCACAATTAAGAAAAGGCAATTTTAATATGCAATATATTATGGTGTTAACAGGCTATGGTGATCAAACATTAAGTGCTTTTAACTGTTTTACCTCAGAATTCGAATACAAGAGAGAGCATGTATGTGACATGCAGAATCTTCAGCATTATCCAACTTCCTCTGCAGTATGTCCCACAGTCTTCGGCGTTTATCATTTTCATTTAATTCATTAAAAGTGAACGTTTTATTGTGCTGTAATAAATATTTCCAAAGGTAAATGGGAAAGAAAGAATACACCAGAAGAAAATTTAATTGCTAGTTCTTATAGTGGTGGAACTCGACATACGGATGAATGCTCTTTCTTTTATAGAAAATATTCTAACTTACTTTTTCTGAAAAACGTTTCAGAATAGCAGTAACTTCGGTTTGGTTTCCAGTTTCTAAACACAATAAATCGCGGTCATCCATGTTGTACGGAATTAACAGAATTCTATTACTTCAAGACATACATTCCTTTGAAATAAAGTTTGACCAAGCTTGAAAATCCACAACTTTCACCTCGGAATGTGAATAAAATGAATTGAGGGAAAATAAAATTATACAGGCCAGGCCGCCGGTACTCAGTTCCCACTTGCTGTACTTGTCAAAACACGATCGGAGGAAACGGAGGTGACCAGATCTGCCAAAGAGGAAGGGAGGAACAGAAGGAAACGGAGGAAACATCTGATCCATGGTGACCCTACAGCGAAGTACATACCGCCATCTATCCGTCAAAAAATAAACCCATTAAAGTGAAGGCGGAGTGCTACCCGATTATTGCAACTTCTCAAAAATGTGCATTATATACGCTGATAATATCGTCCCAAAATAAAATTGATTGAGTAGTGATTCCGGACTCGTCAACTTCTAAATTCATTAGTCCCAAAAGTGTAGAGTTGTCATTGCGGTAGGTGGCGCTTATTGGCGGTTGACTTCTCCCTCTGATGGCGAGATCCGGTGCCGACCTACGTCGGCTTGCAGAGATATTTCTCAACTAGGTATCGCCCACCAGCGGGCCACCACATGGCCAAGACAAGCTCTAAGCTGGTCTCCCGACAAGTATGGTAGTGTAGTGCAGTTAAGTTTTATGTAAGTGGGTGTAAGTAAGGGGTGAGGATATGACGAGGAAGAGGTAGAAAAGATCGCGCGGGCCCTTTTGATTTGCGTAGTGCTCCAGTATTCGCCTGGATTTGGTAGAAGAAACCTACTGATGAGAACATTCGGCCGCTAAACTTCTCCAGACATCAGCTGAATTCGACTCAGCACTGTAGCTAGTGTCGAAAATCCTGTCACCGTCGAGACTCGAACCATAGGACCTCCCAGCCAGGAGCACTGCAGTGACATCAGTTAATGCCCTGAGCCACCTTCGCCTGTCCCACATACGTAACTAGTGGTGCTGCAGAATGACACAGACGTTCTCGTATTAGTTTTCTATTTTCTTTGGTCTGGTAACTACTAGGATATGCCACAGACTCTATCCAGCTGTCAGATATAGCCCGCCCAAAGTACTTTTTTTCTCAATTTTTCGGATCCATAATAAAATCAAACTATTTCTTTAAGAATATTAAAGAAGAGTAAAACCTCGTCATGAAAGGCAATTTTTGTTTTTAAGAAAATGGCGCTTAAAACGTTACTGTAATTGGGAAATATATAGCTCCTTTTCTCAGAAAATTTTCGAGTTTTCGAAACCTTCCTTTGAAGTTATTTGCAGCACTTTCACTTACAAATGCAATAGTCTTCCGAAATCGTTGAAAATCTGCTTATTAACGATGTGAGAGTTTTTTTAATATACTTTTTTAAACAATAGATTACAGCAAACTGAATTTTATGTCATCTAAATAGTGAATTAGCACTATTCGTACGAAAAGTTAGAAGTACAAATTTGCAACCGTTTTTGAGAAAATCGTGTTAGAGTGTTTCTGAAAATGTGTAATTTTGAGCACATTTTCACAGAAAATTGTTGTTGAGATTTCGAGAAACTTTACATGAAAATCTTAGTTTTGTTATTTTTAAAATTGCGCAAATTGCACGCAATATGCGCAATTTTACGCGCGAAAGCTACTTGAAGTTTCAAAAAGTATGCATGACCTTAATGAAAGAACTAATTATGGACGATAAATATTAATTGGAAGAAAACTCTCTTATCTTCAATTCTGTAGTTGTAAAAAGTCGCCGAAAAAATCAAACTTTTGAAATTTTCGAAAATTCAGAGTTAACCGTGAAAATCGGACTTAAGCCACATTTGTATGTAATTGTATTTCACTCTATTCTTACAGGACATTTAAAGAAAAAAATGGTGTTTTTTTTCGGTATCAGGGGACCCCAAAACGTGAATTTCCGTTGAAATCACGAAATCCACTTTCCGCAGCATTACAGACAATGTGATCAAAAATATGTCCAATATGGTGTTATGATCGTGCTTTTCATGGAGTGTTTTCATGGAGGTCGCGCTTTCAATCCATGTGTTCTTGTGTGGCAAATTTTCGACCCAAAAACACTTATTGGCAATCTTAATCTGAGAGGTGATATTATATAGATTCTGTTGGCTCCAATTAAGTTTTCACTGATTTTACGTCTATCCATTTCTTCCCATAGTCGAGCAACAGGTACATTGTCATACGCCTTCTGAAAATCAATGAAAACCACCTCTCTATGTTCTCTTTTCCATTAGTTGTTTTAATGTAAATATATTGTCTATGACCGATCTACCTGCAGTAAAACCACATTGTTCCTCTCCGGTTTTCCCTTTTTTCTACTTTATTTCGTATTGTTTTGCTATACAGTCTACCTATAGATCCAATAACTGCTATTAGTCGGTGGCGATGGTGTCGGAGTTGGCGGGGATACCCAAGTTGGCGGGTTCGAACCCGATCGAAGCCGTGGATGTTTAAGGGCGAAAAAATCATTCGTACGCCTTCCTTCGGAGGGGAAGTAAAGCCGGCTGTCCCATGTTAGTCAATTTACTTGCATGTAAAAGATCCTCAAGCCTAAATGACGCCTCTGAGCTAAATTCAAATCTCCTGTTTCGTCGCCCAAGAAATACCTCCTTTCTCCGATGGTGGGTGAAAGGAGCGTAGCGAAATTTGCATGGTCAGACGGAAGACCGGGACTAATGGCTCGAGTCTCGCCAGGTATAAGGCAACAATTCAATATTTATCTGTAGTTTGTTTCATCCTATAATCGCATTTATCGAGTCACAATTTATTCTTCCTTGATAACACTTCTTGTTTTACTTCTCTACTTATTGCTTTGTACTGTAAATTTGTTTCAGTTTTCTTGTCACAAAGCCATTTTAAATATAGCTCTATTTTCCTCTTAATCTATTATTCTAGACTTGTGTCCTACCAACACTGCTTCGATTTTAATATACAAAATCTTAAAGCCTCCTCTGCGGTTTGGTGAATACATTCTTGTATTTGTTCGTATTATTTTTCTGTTGTCCCGTGTTTAACCAAACGTTTAGTTTCAAGTCTTTTTCTGTAAAGATATGTTGTACTTCCACTGAAGAGACTGCTTAATTTGTATTTGGTAGGTTTCATGACAAATTCATCTTTATCTTCTTTATCCGTTAGTTGATGTAAATGGTATGAATAGTTTAGCAATTACCAAACAATGATCGCTACATTGGGCTCCCCTTTTCACTCTAACATCTTGTATTCTGAGTGAAGTTTTTACTTGGTTGCACAGAGGTCTATTATAAATTTGATTTTTTTGTTGGTACCAGGTGTATATATGAATATCCTTATGTTGGAAGAAAGTGTTATTAATTTCATTTCATACTTTTCACAAATATTAATAAGTCTTTTTCCATTCTCATATCCTCACCATATTGACCCACAATATTGTTGTTCTTGTCTCTTTCAACTCTGCCGTTAAAATCTCCTGCAAATATTATTTCATGGGACTTGGGAATACCATCAAGGGCTTATTTGACTGTCATTTCAAAATCATATTTCTTAGCCAATGGGGCATCATCATTTAAATTATGTATTCCTCTGACACTTATGAATTTTCCTCTGATTTCTAACTTCTTAAATAAGACATTCTTTTATATACTCCCAACTTTTTATAAATTTACCGAATCGTTCTCCAATAACAAAATAAATTTCGGCTTTGGCATTTTCATGTTTGTTTACGCCACTGTGAATATCTATGTTTCTTCTCATCATTTCTTGAATTACTTCTTCTTGTATGTTCGATATGCTTTGTACATTCCATACACCAATATTCAGAGTCCATTTTCTTTGCCGATGACGTTTCCCTTTTGAAATATCCGAGGCATTCATATGACTGATATTTTTAGCGGTGTGATGTTTTACGTTTGCAGGGAGCTGGCAGCACAACCCCAAACGTGGAAGACCGGAGTTTTTATTTCAGGGGTTCCCATCCTTTAGGCTGATTGCTTCCACCGTAGCTTAAGGAGTTCAGCCTAGCCCTGATCCACTCTTTAGGGATTTAATTCCGAAGGTTAGTGAATCCCACCTTCCCCTGTTGGATCATGCACTCTAAAGAAATAAGGAAGGAAGATGAGGAAAGACTCCCTTGCCCTCGAAACCTAATAGTGTCAGGGTCAGAAATAAACAAGGGTTGACTAAAGGAGGCCGATAGAATAGATGAAAGCATTGTGGCACAAGAAAGTTAAAGATGTCATAATTGGTAGATGAAGGAACCATAACGACATGAACACATCGTTATTGGGAAAGAACAAAAAGATAGGAAAGAATGAACGGTTAAGATTGGGATGAATAGGACGTGAAAGGACACGACTTAGTCTGGTAACATGTGGATGAAGGGGTATAATTGACTCGTAGTGACTCGCTCCTATCGTCGCTCGTTTTTTAAACATACCACTCATGCAATTATATTCCTCTTTGTCAATTTGTTTCGTTAATTACTCTAATATTGTGGATATGTTCTTTACACATACACAAGTCTCATTAACTGAAGCATTATAAAAGACAGAACAAATGAAGACGGTGTAATAAACCCCCTAATTCTTACTGCTGTTTATTGAAGAGTCGCCGCCAACTCTGTTATGTTATCGCATAAGATGGCAAGCTTGAAACCGAAACAACAATCAAAAGACAATGTTGTTGTTCTTCTTCTTCTTGTTCTTCTTCTTCTTGTTCTTCTTCTTCTTGTTCTTCTTCTTCTTGTTCTTCTTCTTTTATTATTTTTTTTAATGCTTCACTTCTGGCCCTCTGCAGCCGTGTAAGACAATTACACTAAATGTAGAATATTTAAAATATATTATATGATACATAGTCAACAAAATTTTACTTTAAGTTAAATAACGATTTGAGGGTTAAATAGGTCCTAAACGAGAAAAGACTCATAGGTTTGGGTCTATGGGGGGATGAAAAATTCTCTGGGCAACTTTCTTTTTAGCCTATTGCGGTGCGGATTCTGCATACAATACTTACGTGAAAGTGGATTGCTGAAGAAATCTGTATATTTTAGAATATAATTTCATGGATAGAAGAGGAAAGTGGACGGAAATCGATGTAATGCCAAGTTCACTATGTTCTTGTGAATTTGGAATATGTCAGGGAGCTTTTGTGATATGATTTCTTTAGAATATATATGATGGGCTCTACGAGTAGCTAGTGGTATTCGGTGTTGTATAGTTTGCTGCTATGTAAGTCTTCGAAGTCGTTAAAAAAATGT